GTCTTGTGAGAGTCTTGCTTGCAGTATATACAAGCTAGAATGCTTGTTTCCACGAGCAACAATCATAGCACCTCTAGTAAGCTTCCACTGGCCATTACTGAAGGTGTTGCAATATCATTCATCATCAAGTTTACTTGTAGAGATCAAATTCAAACGAATGTCAGGAATATGCTTTACCCCTCTAAGAAGTAGCTTCATGTCATTATTCATCTCCAAGCACACATCTCCAATACCAACGACTTTGGCCAAGCCATCATTGTCCATCTTTACTGTACCAAAGTCACATGTCGTGTAGGATGTAAAGAAGTCCTTTCGAGATGTGGCATGAATGGAGGCTCCACTATCAATAACCCAACTGGTCTCATGACATGCAACATTGACAACATTATTTTCATAAACAGCAAGAAAGTCTTTAGTAGAAATGGTAGTAACTCTATCATTTTCCTTGTTATCACCACCCTCTTGTTCTTTGCTTTTCTTCTTGTTCTCCCGTTTCAACTATCTACAATATTTCTTAATGTGTCATTTCATGCCGCAATGATGACACTCAACATTAGCAAACCTATTGTACTTACTTCTTCCTTTATCTTTGTTCCTGGAGTCTTTGCTCTTACTCCACCCTCTTCTTTCTGTAACCAAAATCTCTGACTACTGAGACGACCCATGTGACTTTCTTCTCGTTTCTTCATTTAAAATACTGCTCTTAATCAAATCCATATTGATTATACCATTCAGAGCTGAGTTACTCAATGACATTCTGAATGTTTCCCAAGAGTCTGGCAATGTACCCAATAGACGCAACCCCTGAATCTCATCATCAAACTTGATGCCCATTCCAGCTAGCTGATTAATTATACCTTGGAACGTATTCAAGTGATCTGTCAACGGAGTTCCATCTCGATACCTCAAAGCCATCAACTGCTTGATGAGAATCATTTTATTATTTCCCGTTTTCCGAGCATACAACTCTTCAAGTTTATTCTATAGTGTACGTGCATGTGTTTCTCCACTAATATGATTCAAAACATTATCATCTACCCACTGCCTTATATACCCACAGACCTGTCGATGTAACAAGGTCCATTGTTCCTAAGACATATTATTTGGCTTCCTAGTGGCAAACACCGATAAATGAAATTGTTTAATATAAAGGAGATCTTTCATTTTTCCTGTTCAAGTATGGTAATTTGCACCATTCAAAGTAATCACTAGTCAAATTAGCTTCCTTATTCAACACAAGATATTCAGTAACAATAACCACTCTAATACCACTTTGTTGGGAGAATCACGAAATCAAGCAAACTCTAACCAAGTTCCAAAACAGCGGAAATAATATTTTTCTCCCTCTTTGTTTGAATTTATTAGGAAACAATTTAGTAGAGCTTAAAACTAAAAACAAGCACACAAGAACACAATCAAATTTACATGGAAAAACCTTCCCAGTGTGGGAAGATAAAAAAACCACGGTCACCAAAAACTTCCACTATCAAGAAAGTGATTATACAAGTGTTCTCTCTAGATAAAACTAGAAGCATACAATCAGCAAATCATCAAGAAAATATATTCCTTGGAAACTAACAAATATCTCAAGATAATGGAGAAATCTCACCTAAAACAGAGGTATTGTTCACAGACTCATATCTCACAAACTAGTGAGTCAAACCAGATCTCCACCGTTCATATTGAAGAACCTTAAGTCGCGAACATGCCTGCAAAATTTCAGCTCAATCGGACCACAAACGACCTTCGATCGAAGCACAATATGAAAATTGTGCAGGCTGGAATTTGAAAAGTCTACTCCTTTTCTCTCTTTGTTTTTACACGGGATTATCTTCCTTTCTCTCTAATCTTTCAGCAGCCAATACCACTAGAGGTTATTTTCTTTGACTATTTTCATTTGGGCAAAAATACCCTCATCCATGGGCTCAAAAATACCACATGGGCTTCTTGGGCCATCCTCCACATAAGAGGGAAACCCAACAACTAACACACACGGCGTTGCTTGGAGATGATGAGACCTCCGTTCTATTTATTTTTTCTGCAGGTTGTTTTCACTTTCTATGAATTTTATTCTTTGTACATTATAAGAGTGTAACCGAGTAACCGACCACAAACGGGCTTCCAAAAAATATAGGGAGAAAGACGATTCAGCCTAAGGTCAGAATTTATTGGTACAGAATACTGTTAATAGGTGGCAGTCTATGTTAATTCATAGGCGGGTATTAATGCATAGAACGTGGATTGTTATTTATAACTCTCCAATGGAAATCAAAAATCTATATTGAACCTGTCTGTACTTCTATGAAAAATATAAGACGGCATGAAGAATTACTACATGACGAACTGGCTTCCAAAAAATATAATACAATACATCTTATACAATACATATCATATTAACACTTTGAACCTTGCGTTGGTTTTTTACCCAGAAAACTCCAATCTGATGCTATGCTTAAAAAGGCTCTGACAACTAATTTACCCAATGCTGGTCCTACATGAATGATGTTTTGGGAGGGGTGAACTGGACACCGACCTAACCTTTTAGCTGCTAATGGCTGACCTTAAAAAGAACAAGTGTTAAACCAAAATTATCTCAAAAGAACCCAAAATGGTCTTATCAATTATATATACTAAGGCGGGAAGGACCTTGGTCAAGACGACGTGGCCTTCTCTTCCCACAGAATAGGGTATCCGCACGTAAATTTTGTAGTAACGTATGAAGAGATGAGGAATGAGGTCTGGGTTGATGTATTCACACATTTATTCTTGTCTTTTTAGTTAACCATCTCAATCACGTGTAAATATTACGTTGTTCTTCCTCTTTCACTGCAAGTCTCCAACTCCCGAGCTTCCCTGCAGAATTTATTTGCCATTAAGTCTCCCACAAGCTTCCCTGCTTGCGGACTCCGGCGCTCATGGCACCACCCAAGTCAGTGAAGGTGGTGGAGCTATGCAAAGTCGCTCCTGCAGCTGGGTTATTCAGTCATCGAAGTATCACCCCCACTCTTTTTCTTTGACTTGTTCTGGTTGCCGGTGCCACCCAAGCAACTACTTTACTCCTACCGCTTCTCTCATTCATCTAGTCACTTCAGATAGAGTCTCCTTCCCTGCATCAAACACTCACTCTTTCTCACCCTCCTCCACTTCTATCTTTTTGCCGGACATCTGTCATGGCCACCGGAATGTCCCAAGCCCATGATCCATTACGCCCAAGGCGACTTGTTTTCATTAGCCATCGCCGAGTCAGACGACAACTTTGTACAAGGACAAACAGCTACCACCAGCTTGCCTGTCGTCCTTCACATTGCTGTGCGCTTATATCTGGGTATCCTTGGTTAAGTCCGGGGATCAAAGGGTTTCCCATAGTTTTAAAAACCGGATCAGGCCGGATGGTCGGATCGAAAAAACCGGGAACCGGTCACCTGACCAATTCTATTTTTTTCCCAAAACCGTTAATTTTGATCAACAAACCGCTGAACCGACCGATTAAAACCGTTCGAATGGTTTTGACCGTTTTTCAATTTTTTATTTTTTTGTCAGAAACACGCCGACCATTTGGATCGAACGGTCGGGCCGTTCGAACCAGTAACTGGACCCCTGACCGGTCGATCACCGGGTCGGTTTTAAAAACTATGAGGTTTCCCTTTTCGTTCAACGTGGACTGTGGGGCTCGACAGAAGCCTCCGGTTCCCGCCACGTACTTTGGCAACTGCGTCGGGACTCGTGTAGTGACGGCCGAGAGGGCTGATTTGCTGAGGCACGATGGAATTGTCGTTGCAGCATGCTTGATCGAGGAGTCCATTAATGGGTTGGAAGATCCCGACTTCATTGGCGGTTCATCAGCTTTGTGAGAATTGAAAAAGGCAAGATAAAGAAAAAGAAACAAAGAAACAAAACAGAACTAAAATACCTACCCAGGAATAGGAACCGCCGAACCAGGAACCGAAGAAGTTATTTGAAGTAATTGAACTGTAAATCGTTAAAACGGATTCTTGAATCTGATGCCATTAATGCATTTTCAGTCCCAATTTTGATTTTGGTCCAATTTGATGGTCGTTTTCTTCTTCATTTGTTCATTATTTGAGTTTGGCGCCACTGTTCCAGAACAATTTCTGTTATCGTTGGAGCAAATCTCGCCATTAAGGTTCTGTGAAGCGTCGTTGGTCATTTATTACAATTTATTCTGAGGCTTCTCGTAGACTGATAAATCAATCGCTGAGAATTTGAACAGATAAATTTCAAACAACTACCTTCCGCTCCGGGTTCTCTTCCATGGCCAATTGGAAAGTTTTCTGGCATCTAGAAGCTCCTCCTGGATGGGAATTTCTTCTCCCGTAGTATTCCGGCTGAATTAGGTAGGAACAGTTTTATGGTGAAGCGTCGTTGGTCATTTATTACAATTTGTTCGGATTTCTTCCCGTAGACTGAATCAATTGCTGAGAATTTGAACAGATAAATCTTTCAAACAACCAGCTTACGGGTTCTATTCCACGATCAATTGGAAATTTTTTTAGCATCCAGGAATTCTTCCTGGATAGGAATTTATTCTCCCATAGTATTCGTATCGCTCTCCCGTGCTCAGTACGGGTTACTCCGTTTGTATACTGTCTATAAAATTTACCCTTTTATACATGAAATATAACAAAAAAAAAACTAGAACTTTATATATTATTAACTATAATAAGTTCGGGTCTTAATCAATTTAACAGTAAGAACTGGTCTCCACCCAATTATTAATCAGGACAAAACCACAAAAGCAAAACCCACCTAATTGGTTCAGCATGTTGGATAGACCCGACCTGTTGACAAAACCACACACTTCTCAATTGTTTTCATAAAACGGGAGATATTAAGTGTTAAATTAGATCTGCAAAAGATTTACACACACACGAGGGGAATAGATTATCGGAAACAAAAAAAAAAAAAAAAGTAAAACGGCGTGATTTAATTAGTGTTGCACCCTGGAGAAAGTCCAAACCATCACAAGGGGGAATTGAATATAGAAAATAAATCACAAGCCCACGCTATCTAAATTCAAGTCTCATTCATAAATAATGGTGCTACAACCAGATAAAATCATCCAAGAATGGGTGATTGCTTTCCTAAATTGAAAAGCATTCCTAGAAGGCTCAAAAATCCTGAAGAATTTCAGCTCATAAATTCTCAATTGTTTCTCCATAAATGGGAGATATTAAGTATTACACAAATTAGATCTGCAAAAGATTTACATCCAGCGATCTATACGGATATGCAGCTACTTAGGGAGGGGGGTCTGCCAATAACAGCATTTTAGAAGAACAGTGCGGCCGCAGCAGCAATAACCGGTAAAGCCCTTAGCTCAACTTCAGAACACAAACTCGTCAGCCAGCTTACAACCAATTGTAGGATTCCTATGCAGGAGTAGACAATTAATTAGACTACAACTTACATTAACTATAGTCAGGTGTCATATTTCATTCAAATCTAAGCATTCGTGACACCGAAATGAAATATAACTACATAAGTGGAGTTGTTACATTTAAAGAGCAACATATAGCAACTGATAAGGGGCAATTCCAACAGACACTGCCCATTCTGATCACAGGGGAAAAAACAGTTAACATGTAGAAACTAATGTTGCATGGACGTGAACATGAAAATCAGAAGCATACGTGTCTGGAACTCTGCAAGATGATAAACAAAAACTCACAGACACATCTATAAATAAAATATATTCGTCCTCCAAATCTTATCCCAACTACATGGGGTTGGCTACATGAATCCTGTTTCATCATTCCGTTCTGTTTAAAGCCATATCCATTGTTAAGTTATTGGTACTTAAATCATTTTTTACTACTACCCAAGTTCATTTTGGTCTACCCCTAGCCCTTATAACCCCTTCAACTTGCAACAAATCACTGGCTATGCACATAACCAAACCATCTAAGTTAAATTGGGGCTTACTCCTATATTCCTATGAATAACTTCATTTCTGATCCTATCCTTTATAGTTTTTTCACTCATCTATCTCAGTATGCACGTTTCTACCACACTCATTAGTTGGACATGTTGCCACTTGTCTGCCCAACACTCTACTCCATATAGCATAGATGGCCTTACAAATTTTTTATAGAATTTTCCCTTTGATCTAAGTATTCATCTAACACATAAAACTCTAGATGCACCACTTGTCCATCCTGCTCTAATTCTATGGGCAACATTATCCCCAATCTCTCCCTGGTTATGAATTATCGAACCAAAGTACCAGAAAAGGTCGCATTGAGTTATCTCTTGTTCTCCAATCATAAGTGTACCCTGATTTTCACTCCTATTTTTATTATTAAATTTACATACCATATATTCCGTTTTAGTCTTCTTTTTGATAGACCTTCTGTTTTAGTCTTTCAAAACCTCTTATTTACAAGGCATTTGTCCATAAGCTTCATTTTGCATTTAATCCTTCATTAGTTTCATCAATTAAAACAATATCATCAGCAAACAACATGCACCAAGGGACCTCCTCCTGAATGTGTTTGGTCAATTCATCTATGATAAGTGCAAATAAACAAGGGTTAAGTGCCTAGCCTTGGTGAAGACCCACCACAACTGTAAAGTTTGATCTCTCCCATAGGTGTTCTAACATTAGTTGTTTCACCTTAATAAATAAGTATAAACTATTTATACTCAATGTTTAACATTATAAACCTATAGAAAAAATTTTTTTTTTTTTTTTGCTTTTTGAAAGGCAATTTGAACCTAGAGAAAGATAATCTCTGTTAATAAAATTCTGTACATTGTTGCACGGACACTGACACAAGAATCAGAAATGAAAACATGTCATAGCACCCAGACACATAACATAGTCCATATTTTTCAAATTCAAACTATTTACATAGTCCATACTATCAAGAAAGGTCAAACTTTAGCTTTGTTATTTAATAATGGTTTCTAGAAAAAAAAGGCATCCATCGTGTGTATTAATTATTCCTTTATATCAGACAAGTATAGCAAAATGTTTTGGTGAAAAGTCCAACAAGAATCCAGGGAGTGTTGGAGTCCAATGTGTGTCCAACAAGGACACTTCATTAATTTAGGAAAGCCCATGCAACATTGGCAGAAATTGACATAAAAATGCCAGTGATGAAAGACAGCAGTGGTGGTAGAAAGTTTATTCAAAGATAAATGATATAACGAGTGGTTAAAGGTAGCAAAAGGCACATACACACCTCCACAAGGTGCGTTATTAAGAACCTAAGCTCAAGGAAAGACATTCAAGTTTAACTCACAAGCTTCTGGAAGAGTCGGTATCCCCATTCCCCACTACATGGTTGTCTATACACGTGCTGCACTTCCACTAGCATAAATTAAAGCCATACTTTTACATGCTAATAGTTCTACCAGCATAATATGGCTGCATCAAGTCTCTACCTTGCATCCTACTTGACTAGAAGTAGCAGAAGATTCTCAGGTGGAGATAAGGTTGAAGAGCACCTTTGGAATTCAAACTGTATCAAAGAAGTAAAATTTCCTTCCAACAATTTGAACATCTCACTCAATTTGGTCAGTAAAACAGTAAATAAGAGAGGAAGTTTTTGATGAATTCTTCGAGAGGGGTAAATTCAACTCAGGGGAAAATGCCACTTTTATCATTTTGATCCCTAAGACCTTAGATGCCTCCCACCCAAAAGATTTTAGACCTATAAGCCTTGTGGGTAGCATGTATAAAATTGTCTCCAAGGTGTTAGCTGAGAGGATTAAAAAAGTTCTTCCATCTTTAATCTCTCCGAATCAAGGGGCTTTTGTGTTTGGAAGGCAAACAACAGACCAAATCCTTATTGCAAATGAGTGTGTGGAGTTTAAAAAATGGAGAAAGGAAAAAGGGCTAGTTTGCAAATTGGACCTGAAGAAAGCCTATGACTTGGTGGATTCGGATTTCCTTCTAGAAGTGTTAAGGTTGAGAGGTTTTGGAGCGAGATGGTGCAAATGAATAAAGGGTTGTATTTCCTCCTGTCATTATTCCATTTTGGTTAACAGAGTTGCCAGAGATTTCTTTCCAACTAAAAGGGGCCTTCAACAAGGTGACCCCCTTTCCCCCTTCCTCTTCACTCTAATAGCAGATGTGTTTAGTGATTTGATTTCAAGGGCTGATGCCAACAATTTTATACGAGGTTGGAGAATTGGGGGGAATAATGTGGTGGCTACCCATTTACAATTTGCAGATGATATTCTAATCTTTTGCGAAGGAGAAAGGGAGGAAATGACAAATTTACAAAGGATGGTATCCCTTTTTGAAAAGATCTCTAACCTCAAAGTAAACCGGAGCAAAAGTTGTATAGCAGGGTTAAGTAAGGAGAGAGGAGAGGTTGAAAGCCTAGCTAGTTTGTTGCAATGTGGGGTAGGTGAGTGGCCTCTATAGTACCTTGGTCTACCCTTAGGGGGGAACCTGACTTTTGTTAACTTTTGGGATCCGGTAGTAGAAAGATTCACAAAAAGGCCTGCTGGCTGGAAGAGAAACTACATATCTCTAAGAGGTAGAATAACCCCAATAAAGTCAACATTGACTAGTTTGCCAGTCTATTACCTCTCAACCTTTAGGATCCCCTTAAAAGTGGCCAATAAACTGGAGAAACTGATGAGAGACTTCTTTTGAGAGCCAGGGGATACAAAAAAGGTCATTTGGTAAAGTGGGAGGTGGTATCAAGGAGTAGGGATAGGAAACATCAAACTTAGGAACTTGGCACTTCTGAGTAAATGGCTATGGAAGTTTCCTTTGGAACAAGAGAACTTATGGCATAGGGTAATTGTAAGTATTCATGGCATGGTAAATAATGGATGGGACGCTAGTCTTGATCCTAGGGCAACAAGGGCTTCTCCTTGGAAAGAAATTCACAATTTGTTACCGTTTTTCCTTCAGCTGGTCTGGTATGATGCTTGTATGGGTAACAAAGTTCGTTTCTGGGAGGATATCTGGCTTGGGAACATTCCTCTCAAAGACAGATTTCCACCTATTTTTTCATTGTCCCTCAACAAAGGGAGAGTGATTTCTTCAATGCTTGTTAATGAAAACTCTTGGGATCTAGGATTAAGGAGAGGGTTAAGGGAACATGAAATGGGCTTAGTAGATGAACTAATCTCCATTCTTAATACTGCATTCCTGGACCTCTCTTGCCAAGACAGAAGGATCTGGTCAGAGTCCCCTCTGGCTCCTATACCTGTGCCTCTTTTTTCTCCACCCTCCTTCATTCCTCGCACCCAGGAGGCTCCTTTCCTATAAAGGAAGTTTGGTGCAGTCCTATACCCCAAAAAATAAGAGACTTTTGTTGGGAGGTGGTGCTCCAGAAAATTAATACTCTGGATAATTTACAAAAAAGAAGGATGAATCATTGCCTCTCCCCTCATGTATGTTGCCTATGTTTGGGAAATGGTGAGATAGTTACACATCTTTTACTTTCTTGTCCCTTTGCTTCTTGTGTGTGGAATTGGTTTTCTGCCTTATTTGGTTGCAGATGGACTCCTCCCTCAGATGTGACAAGTCTATTCAACCCAAGTTTTTTCCTACTATCAAGAAAAAGGGGAAGAGTGATGTGGAGGGCAACAAGAGCAGCCATCCTTTGGGCCTTATAGGAGGAAAGGAATAACAGAATGATCCAAGGGGCACAAAGATCAACAGAACAAATCATTGACTGCATAGCCATTAAAGTCATACACTGGCTGAAAGTAAGTGACTTATTTAAAGACTTTTCAGTGGATGATATACAAAGGGGTTTCATGTCCTTCAGCCTTCTTGAACACCAGCAGCACAACAAAGGGTAAAATTAAATTTTGATGGAAGCTCCATGGGTAATCCAGGACCCTCGGGAGTTAGGGGAGTCTTTAAGGATGGGGAGGGCAGAATGGTGGCATTATACTCAGGTCCCATAGGAGTGGGAGACTCTAGGAGAGCTGAAATTTTGGCTCTCCTACAAGGCCTGAGATATGCCAAGCAATGGGAATTTCAGAACTTGGAGGTGGAAGGAAACTCTAAATTGTTAATAGGGTGGCTGCAAACAAAGATGTTGGGTGTATGGAAGTTTAGACAGCAAATAAGGGAAATAATCTGCTTGGCAAGGGAAGTTGGAGTAACATTCAAATGGGTAAGGAGATCAGCAAACTCTGTGGCAGATGGCTTGGCAAAATAGGGGACTTTCAGGGAAAACTTCTTTTGGGCTGTATTGTAATTCTTAATGTTATTTTGGGGTCAACACTCTTTGTTTGAGTGGTTGACAGTGTAAAATGTTTTTGATATCCTTGATGAAAGTTACCGTTTCCAATAAAAAAAACAGTAAATACCTTACCGACTCTCTTTTTGTAGAAGGATAATGAAGGCAAGAAAGAGTTTTTACTTTTGTCGTCTTTTTTCTTATTTAGAAGCTTATAGAAAAGAAAAACATGATAATAAAATTCAAGCATTTATCTTGTTCCCTATGTTACATGACATCAGCAAGGTGCCACATAGAGAATTTCCTCTAAAAACTAAAATGTCAGACAGGTCACTGCACCCTTTTTCATCAAAAACATTGAGGGAACTTTATTCCATGGAGAGAAAAACAGCACATCCAAAATGAGATCAATAGATGCAGATAAAGACATGGTCGTAGCACACATGTTGGGAATGGGGGAAGTCGGGCTTCAGCGATGGAGTACTCCACTAGAAGTAACGTATTTCACTGATCAACAAAATTTCGAAGGTCAGTTAACAATCAAGAAAATTAACACCCAGTGACCAAAACCTTGTGAGCTTCCAAGTTTCAATTTTATAACAAAATTAGGGTTTTGTTCAGTATGCATTTATGAACTTTACCACACATCTCGACAGCATCAAGAAATCATTGTATCTTCTAATTTCATTTTGATCAAATTCCAAATTTTTTAACTTATTAAAAAACTATTTAGCTATCAATTTAGAATTTAAGCAGGACTATAGTCCAATTCTCAAAGATCTTTAATAGAAAATTTATCAGAAAATACAGAAAAAAAAACATGGTACATTAACAATTGGATACCAGAAAATCAAGTGTGTGCATGTGTGTATGTATATTTTGCTTCCAGTTAATGAGATAAGTGTTCCAGAGAAAAATGGAAGGAGAAAATTCCATGTACAATCATCAAACCAATCATTAGACTATAATCAGAAATATTCACATCTATAGATATATAGTACAACCACTAGTGTAAGACCCCCAAACATAAAGATACAGAGTGAAGTTTACTCACTTTTATGAACACATAATGCACCCAATTACAGTTCACTATAATTGCGCCACACTGCACGAAATTCTTCACGGAATGTGTTCAGGCGTGCTTTTAGATTAGGTGTTCTAAAGCTTGCATGAAGGATGGTTGCTGCAAAAGAGGCACAATTAGCCAGTAAAAATACATTGCCAAAGAAAAAAACTTAAAAAAAAGTATAAAATATGTTGATGATCATATACCAAGAAGGCCAATGGCAAATGCCCATAGAACTGTAAGGAGACCACAAGACGTGATCCACAGAATGCAACTAACTGGAAAAGGAAAAATAGTCGATTAAGCGATATCAACAATATTATTTCATGGCTAATTTTATACATATGAACTGACTTAAAGTCCAAATACCTGCTGAAAATATCAAGACAAACATCCAACGAGGCTTTCCACATATATGAATTGCTTTTCTAGGTGATGGGCGCCCCCGAATAACAGGCCTGGGGATAAATAGACTTTAAGATAAGCAACAATTCAACTACCCTGAGGACACAAATAAGAACACAACCTCACTTACACCATAGGTGGTCTCATCTTTGCAGCTAAATGTGGAGAGAACTGTCTCACAGTTCTTGTTACCTTCTCATTAAAAGTAACTGCAAAGCTGTAAAACCAGTTGTCAACAACAATAATAATACCATATATGAACAAAACAATTAAAATTTGACTTCTATAAGGATGATGAATCATCACAGCCACTGAAATTAGGTAAACATAAGCAAGATACGACGAGAAACAAATGGATTAAAAATGTTCCTTTTCCTAGCTTTGTTATGCCTTCATTCTATTTATATACCTTATTAACCCCAACCACATGTAATCATGGTTACTTAAAGCAATTGATTTACATATGCAGTGTTATTGTATATATTAGATACAAATGCAAACAAATGAACTTTACAATAACTTCATGGTCAACCCAACCAGTCAATAAGGTACAGCTCTCAAATCACTGGACATTGATTGGTCAAAACTTTGACAACACTGATACCCGATAATTTCTTATCACTAAACTTGTGCTTCCCCTTTCTGAATCAAAAAGGAAGTTATTGTATATACAGTTAGCTTCAACTCAGTAAAGAGGTTCACCAACAGCCTAGCTGATGTTCTTGCTAGGCAAGTGAGTCCACAGAAGCCAGCTGTTTAGGGGTATAGTCCTTATGGAGGAATTATTGTATATAAAAGCATAATGGGCAAGGTAGTTTGGGGTCTTAACTTCAAGGGTTGAGGCGTGCCACTTTGAACTGTATATAAAAGCATATTATGCACTGGCAGTACTGCTTGTACATGACCACGTGAATCCTGTTTTTAAGCAAGAAAACTTTCTGTTATTGATAAAAAAACTTTAATTTGTCTTACATCCTTCTCTATTCAAGTGTTTTCTAGCTATACTTTACAATTTCCAGTGTTTTAAGATTTCTTTGATAGTTTTGTACTTTCTTTTCTTTATTAGTATTCATTAACGATATTCTTTTTTATTAATTCCTTAATGGTATTCTTTTTGCTTTTTTATTACTTCCTGCAAAGCATTCTCAAGGTTTTTTCATTTTGTTGCTGACTTATCCCAAAAACGGACTGATCAAATAAAACTTTCCTGGAAAGCAGATTAAGTTTTCTTATCAAAGCTATTTAAGTTTTTGTCCAAATAGATAAAAGCATAAAATAACCAAAAATGGTAACTGTTGCATTTTCCATATATGACCTTAACCATTTGAGCCCTGGTTTCCAACCATGGATATGGATGTGAAGTTAGGGCATGCCATGGAAAAGGTTTCAACCACAAAATTACATTGCGAATTAAAGCATCCAACACAGACAGATAACTTGGTTGCCTATGAAGATGATAAAATGGTAAGCATAAAGGTTTAATGCTATACAAAGAATGAATTTGAAAAGAAACTTTAGCTAAGGCTTTGGATGGCAGGGAAATTAAAAAAAAAAAAAAGTATTTTCAACAGTTAAAATGAGATGGCATTAAACTAAAAATCGGAAAATTCTGTTTGGAGAGGTGGTAGAGATGGGACCACAGAATTAAGTAACTACATGATTGGCCGGGTCAATCCAATTTGAGGGTGAGACATGGTGCTAGATGGCATGGACTATTACAGATCCCCTCAAAGGTTTAAGATCCCCTCAAAGGTAGAGATGGGACCACAAATTCTGTTTGAAGAGTCTCTCTCATTAAATCTACCCTAGCTAACCTTCCTGTTTACTTTCTGTCAGTGTTTAAGATCCCCTCAAAGGTTTCAAACCTTTTGGAA